TCCACATAGCACAGCTAATCGCCAGATATACACTTAAGGAACGAATTTCGATCATTTTATGATCGAAATGCCAATATTGATGATATTGCACGACCCTAGCTATGCGAAATAAATGATCTACCGTCGCCTGAATGTGACCGGCGCTTCTTTAACATTCAAGCTCATCTTGATTTGCATATTATTCAAGATTCTATCTTTCCATCCTCGCAGGCTCTCTCCTTTCTCAAGGAGTGGCGAGACTTCATAGTACTTGAGCACATGCGCGAGGAAACAAGTACCTTCCATCAAGGCAAACTTTCTTCCTATGCAACTACGCGGCCCCACTGAGAACTGGGTGAACATCTCGTCATGTTCGGCGGTGTACCAGCGTGACGGTCGGAACTCGTGTGGCTCAGGATAAATGCGAGGATTGCGTTCTAAAGGTGGGATACTGCTTTAGCATCAGGTAATTTGGAAGACTGAACACTCACGTAGGCCAATCATGTCCACAATCAATGTGGTATCCTTGGGTACAGCGATGCTCCTTTCAATGTACTCGCCATCTTCCGACTTGACAGGTACTTGAAGAAGCGTATCCTCTCTGGTGCCTCTAAGTAACATATTCGCTGCAGGGACCAATCTGAGTGCCTCTACGAATGCCGCCCTAGTCTTGACCAACGACTCGTATTCCTCAAAGGGCAAGTCCTCAGTCTCCCTACCCAACTTCTGAGAGATCTCTTCAATCTCTCTTTGAATCATTTGTTGCTCCTCTTTGTTGGCGGCGAGGTAACAAAACGTGACAGCCAGCGTTCCAGCGGTTGTCTCGTGACCAGCAAAGATCCCAAATATTGCCAATCTAAGAACCGACACAAAATTAAAGGTGGTGATACAGCATTGAAATAGGATATCACTTACAAGCTCATTATCGTGCAAATGCAGCTTAGCATCTTGCTGGCTTGCCAAGGTAATCAAGCTGAAGATATCTTTTTTGACGCCACTGGTTTCTAGGTCCCCATCCGTCTCACTCAACAGTTTAGATACCTCTGCACTTTTATCGGCAACGGATTTATAGAACCACTTTCGTAACGCTGTCACTGCGTTGACCATACGGCGCCACCTATTCGCCTCAATCAGGCACAAATTTATCATGAAATGATGTGGAGACATACCTTTCAACGGGAAGATTCAGAATTCAGTTCGGAGTGAAGAGAAGTAGCATGAGATTCTCGCCTTGCTCTTTGATCCCTTTAGTTATCTTAATCGTTTCTGTACCGGACTTGACGGAATCCCATGACATTGGCAAGCCAAATCCACAAGAGAGGATAGCATAGAGTGCTAGTCGCTGCGTAAAACTATTCACGTTGCCAAAGGAGATACTCGCGCCACTTTCCATTGGCCATTCGTCAACTTCGACCATCTCCCTGAAGAATCGAGTCGTCTCCTTCCATACTGCCTGATAGCTGTAAAATTTGGCGACATCATCACTCGGCCCGGGACTAAAGACACCAACACTTACGTATCATTGTTGAAAGCGGGTTGCATTACCTTTCGATGCTTCTTCCATTCAACATCATTCACAGATAATATGTTTTTACCCCAATAGGATGATCCCACAGTAGACCTTTCAGAGGAGTTAAAGTATGTTCGATGTGGGTACTTAGGTGTGACTCACCAGTCGGGCTTCCACCATGCCGAGT